CCTGCCAATGTCAAAGTCACACTGATTAATGGCTGCGTAAGCGGCTTAAACGTGCGGCGCAGTGAACGAGGTGGCGCACAAAAGGGACAATTAACGGCTGAACAATCAAGTATTATAGCAGATCAAACGGAATATAGGAAAATGGGTCACGGAAGAAAGTGGAGTGGAGATGAAGGCCGACTGTTACGTAGTTTAATATCTGGACCCGATAAATTACATCTGATTACAAAAGAAGTATCTTCACGAAAACATGCTGTTGCTCTAAAAGAGGCTTAATTCCAAACCCACAGTTTTGCACAGAAAGGAGGAAAACATACAAGCAAAGGCAGGAAATAACTGTTTCTCCAACTACAGTCGCCTCAGTAGACGGAGAATGAATAATACCCAGCGGCGTAAAAGTAACTAAAAGGGGGACTTTTCCTTCAAGCGTGCACGTCCCACCAGGACTGACCCGAACTAAAAATGTGAGAACTCGCTCGCCCAGTGGCACAGATATGAAAAGGAGCCGGGCAATCCAACCACGGAACCGTCCCTGCCGTCTTTATGCAAGCGGCGTTGCCACCTAACGGAGGCCGAGATCGCCCGTGGCCCCCCGAGAAGAGAGGCGAGTGGCCTCCTTCTGCCCGCTCCCATCAGCGTCGCAGCGGCGCCCAGACGTCGTTCTGACACACCTCGATGTCTTCCACGCGAGCGAGTAAAAGTGCACGTTGGGGCTTTTTTTTTCCTCCCCCTCCTCACTGTTGACCTTGTCGAAAGCACAGATGTCAATCATCGCGATGGGAAAGGCTACATTTGGATTCAGAACAATTAATTTCCCACCATAGGGGGCGGAGGATGAACGTCTGCGGGTGCGTACGAAAAGGCCGACAGGAAGGGCAGCGTTCATTTGGGCACGGTGGAGAACTTTGCCGGCTACAGGCGGGCGGGGAGGCCATTTGTCTTTGTTTCCAAATGGCAGGGGCAGCTGCAACCAAAGGTCAGCAAATTGTTACCAGAACAAGGCCCTATAGAGGCCGGGGGACCACGTGCCTGCGACAAGAAGGAGGAGGAGGGGGGGTGGGGGGGCAAACCCAGGTATACACACTCTCCCTCGTGCACGTTGTCGCGTGTGGCATCTCGTTTGGCCTTAAGAAGCCGGGCGCCAAAGGCAGCTGGTGGGAGTTTATTCGCGGCCTCCTCGACGCCGAGCCGCCGTACCCTCCAATCAAGTGTCACTATCAGGTTACAAGCCCCGCCCCCCCGCTCCAGGGTCTCTGTCAGAAGGTAGCGTTTGAAGCGCCATCCAACGACCCCTCCGCCCCCCCCGGGGTGTAACCCAAGCTGGGTAAACCTACTCCCCAACCTCCATCGCCACCTTCTAACCACCGACTCTGGAGCTTTTGTGCAGCCTTCTGCCCAGGGACACACACACACACACACACACACACACACACACACACGGGATCATTCATCAAGCCCAAAATGTATTTGACAACTGTTGTGTACTCAACTAGATCAACTAGATTCCAAGGATATCGAGCCAAAAAGAAAATGATGAAAGTAAAACAGAGGGATGCAGGGATGAGAGCAGAAGAGCTTATGAGGAAACTGTGTTTCTGGTTACGTGTTTTTGAACTCTGAAATGTATATAGTTCTTCTCTCCCTCGGGTTTCTTTCCAACAGCCTCCAGACAGAAATCCATTACATGCACTTCTAAACAGGAGCAGCCCAATGACACGCTCTCGTCTAACATGTGTTTCACCTCCGTGGCTGGAAATGTAATTCACGACTGAGCTGTTTGCCATAGTGCCTGACTCGGACGTCCACAGAGTAGACGTCTTCCATACGACTTCCGGGACCTTTTACTTTGCAATGCCAATCAGTTTAAAATATAAAACAATGTGTTTGGCATGAATAAATCACGACAATAAAACTTTAAGGAGGCGACATGGCTCGTCGGTTCAAGTGGGGGAAAGAACATGTCCCCCAAAAAGTTGCTTCAAACACTCCATCCTCCGTTCCACTTTACGGTTTGATCATAGAAGTTCTTACATTAGTAAAGTGACACGATAAAAATACAAACGTCTCCTCTTCTGCATCCATGGCTGGACAGTAATATGACAAGCTTAAAGACCTCTCCCCGAGGGGAGGGGGGCGACCAGGAGGCCGAGCAGTCATCATCATCCCGTTAACTTGCATTGTAAGCAAACGGGCTGCATTGTTGCTGCAATGTCTCTGAGAATAAAACATGGTCCTCGTCTGGCGTTCGCACGCCTTAAGGACACAGACGGCGCATTATAATGCCTCTGTGGTGGGGCGGAGGGGGGGGGAGAAGCCCAGGCCAAGTGGCCTTTTTTCTGTGTTTGTTTGTTATGTGTATTAAACACAAGAGTTACAAAAAAAGATGTAAACAACACTCACAGGCGGATGTTTATTGGATGTAAAAACCCTTGGGCCCATATGGTAGCCGGCCAGGCTGTGGCATGGCGTGCAGCCCCTCTACAAGTGACCTTTGAACCCCACTGTCAGTGGTGTGGGGTAGTCCTTATCTTTTTTTTTTCTTCTTCCAATGTTCATGTCTGAGCCAAGTTCCCCGTCGGGAATCCGGACAAATGAAGCTGCAGCGGATGCTGGTATTAAACATGATAACAAAGTAGGGACGTGTCATTCGATCCCGCTGTCCCCCCAACGAACCGAGGGGTTATTTACCCGGGTTTGGAGAACGTCACGTTCGGGTAAACGACTCCCCCGTCGGCCATAAAACCGGCAGCTGGTCGCTTCCCCCGGGTCAAACAAGGGTGGAGACCGTGCCCCCCCCCCCCCCACCCACACCCCCATTGCCTCCTCTCCTCGGCCCCGTGCAGGGGAAGAGGAAGAGGACGCGGATTTGGGAAAGAATCCCTCCCCCGCGAGAGGGCTCGGTTCCGGCGGACAGACCGCATCGTAACAATGGGCTTGGGCCCGGCCTCCGCGTTCAGAAAACCAGCGTTTTCTCCCAGTCGGCCCGAACGCAGCACGCCCTTTCTACCCAAGAAAAGCGGGGGGTTGTTCAATGGCCGCACACAAATGCCCCCCCTCACCGTCCTCCTCCTAATTAGACACCCTGCCACACAAACACGGACTTTGGGGTAAGAACACGTTCGTGCTGTAAGCAGCCGGCGGTGCTCGTGTAATAGCGGGGAGGTGCAGCGGAGTCTAGGATGGGCTGACGTGACACCCCGTCATTTAATTATGATTGACAGTGCTCGCTGAATACAAGGCGTTGGGAAGCAAAGCCGTTGGATAGTTCACACAGAAATAGAACGAAGAGAAAAACGCTTACATTCAAGCCGGATTCACAAAGGAGATCCTCTCTTCTCCTGTTGTTCTCCAGCGGGAGGAGCAAACACCGCCGACCTCGGGATGGGGGGGGGGGGTAATAAAAAAAAACCTCCCGGTGCGCGTAGTTATCTGTTTAAAAGATGAATCTAGCGAAAAGAAAACGGTCCCGTTATCCTCATGTTTCCACACGCTGCCTCGTCTACACGCTCGCCCTCCTTCTCTTTCCCGTTCTTCTGTGCCGGAGCCGCCGAGGACGCACGCTGCGCGTCTCCGTCGCTTCCTGTCCAGCCCAGAGCCCGGAGCTGCCTTCAGGGCCCGTCGGAAATATATCACACTACGGTCATTTGGCAAGAAGAGTAGTTACCTAAACCTAATCATAGACTCGGGGGATAAATACACACTGCGTACTGTCTTATCCGAGTTGAACCAAACACTTATTATCGGTCAGTTTTCTTAGGATTCATTGTTATATAAATACAAGTACCCGTGAAAGGAGGAGTCCTGGACGAACTGTGAAGGCAGCATCAGTACCAGTAGCTGTTCAGCCTGAAGAGTGATGATGCTGATAATAATATTAATGATAATATTACCAATCATGTTAATGATACTACATGTACACTAGTGTCATTATTTATATCACAACAACAATATTAATAATGAATATGTTATAGTGGTTCTTGCTGATGCTGTCCTAAAGCCACCCTCGCCAGACAAAAGACACTTCCAGATTAGGAGACTATTGCATGTTATCCATATGGGCACATGGCATTACTAACCCGCCAATCCCCCATCATACATTCTCTGAATTAGAATTACAGACAACATTTTAGAAAATGCTATAATCCCCATTTCACAATCCCTTGAATCCGACACCATGTGTTGCCACACAATGTCAATATATCCCTCCGTTGTATGGTCTTTAATCCATTTTCTGGGCAGTTAAACGTGTATAGAACTTAAAATACATTGAAACAAAGTTATATGTTTTATTTATATACATATATACATTCTTTTTTTCCTGGCTTGTCGCGGCACCAAACTAAAAGTAATGCTTTGTCGCCACACAGTGGACACTTAAAGCTACAGCATCCTCCACCTAATCCTATTTTGTCGACAGAGCGATTGTTTTTTTTTTTTAATCAATCATTCAACCAATCATTTGTTTTTTTTTAAAGCACACAAACTTGTGGCATGGAATTACATTCTCATACAGCTTTCCTAACTGACGTATGTTGACCGTCACTCATACGGTGTAAATTCAGTCTTTGTGAAAAATTTGCCACTCAAACAAATGTCAGCACTAAATGTTTTCTGTTTCTTAAAGTGTTTCGCTAAACCGTTGCAAATTATACACAGGGTCATCGCACTTTCAGTCACTCATACAACAGTTCCAAGTGTGGCTGCAACATAACACGACAGAGCAGAAAACACATATTTACACAATATCTTCTCATATTCAGTTTTGCAACGCTTATTGGCATTCATGCCAGTGTTGCTATCAGTGTCTGTACTTTCAAGCAAAAGCTCTCACATTTAGTTTAAAACGGGTAGCAAAAGGCGGTTTGTGTGTTTTATAAACATCCTGCCCCTGAATAAAACAAACAAAGTCAACTGGAACAGAACGGCCTTGCACCGACCTTTGGGTCTAACCGAACACACAGCCATCGTCAAAAGTCACAAACTCTGGGAGAGAGCGGAAACTTCAGAAAAAGAGGCGGTTTCTGTTACAGGATGTTTTTTCTGCATAAGAGAACGTGTGAGGTCTTAGTCACTGCAGCATCGTGGGAGTGCTTCAGAGAATACAAGCAGATCAGAGTTCCTCTCGCAGCACACGGTCGACGCAGTCCGCCGGAGGAGCTCAGAGCTTCTAGAAGGTGCACGAGGGAAAGCCTCGAGGCGAGTTCACGGTCTCGGTAGCAAGAACGTCAAGATGAGAGCGCGCTGGATGTTCATGGTGCTCCTGAGCTGCGGGTCATATCATGTCATTAAGACCCTGGACGACTGCAAGGGTACAGTGTAAACCTCATTGCAACACACACACTCACATTCCTGCTTTTAGTATTCAGAAGTGCTGGTTGCTTCATTGCATTGTGAAAAGGTTTTGTAGCTCAGGTTGCCACCTCGTTCAATGTGTGGAGGTTGTCTTGAGGAACATGGAGGTGTTCCTCAGCAGCTTCCAGTGAGTAGATACGCATCGGCCTTTCATCTGGCGACTACCATTGTTCCTAAAATGAAGCTGGTAGTCTCCTACCGGGGGGATTTGTGGGGTGAGACATCAGAGTCAACAGAAGAACCTGAAAAGAAAGTGTGGTGGAGGGGCTGTGAGGTGACAAGTGGCACGAAGTGAATCTCATTCGGGGGGCATTAAAGGAACCTCTGCAGAGTTCGGGCTGTAAGAAGCAGTTTTGTTTTTACTGCATCAACAAACACCAACTGGGCCTCTTCCAGCTGTGTGTGTGTGTGTGTGTGTGTGTGTGACGCAGCCACAATTACAAAATCACCTTTTCTCTGCAGGCTCAGTCAAAGCAGAATGCGTGCCTGTCGGGGGAGAGGTGTCCGTGCCCTGTCCAAATGTGACGGGCGAGGACGTGATCATCCACCTCTACAAGGACCATACAAGGATTTGCAACCACCAGTGCACCGAGGCCGGCATGAAGCTGCGCCATGACAATCAATCCTACACGCTCACTGTGGTGAATTCCAGCAGCAATGGAATATACGGATGTCAGAGCATAGCCATGTTCCCGCCGCCCCTCACCAAAACTACTCTGTGCATCTTGGTGCTCGTGGATGGTGAATATTCCAAAAAAGCAACGGTGCACGTCTTCAATGTTGTGCGCTCGTGGCCCAGTGGGCTGATTTACTCGGTGTGAATGTTTCTCACAGGACACCAATGCACCGGCCCAGAGCAGCCCTGCAGGACGAGTGGGGATCAGTGCGATGGATTCCTATGGATTTGGATTCTGGGGCTTGTGCTTCTTTGCAGCTACAGTGTAATAATCACCATCATCGCCAGCATCATCTGGGTAAGATATTCCATATAAACGAACACCAGACGAGGAAGCCATGCTGTGAGTGTGTCAAATGTTTAAACCGTTTTAGGGAAACATTTCCATCTTTTACTGAAAAGAAGCACGGTTGAATGTAAAACAATTCCCCCCTATTTTGTGTGGAGTTAGAAAGTTGTCACTTGTAATATCAGTGCGCATGTGAACATTGAAGAGCTGGATAACAGATGTGTTGCGCGTAAATAGAAGCACAACAAAATAGGGGACATGTACCGTGAAGTTCTCAGAAACGTTAAAAACCCAAACAATTTCTTTTTGCTTTTGGAAAGTTAATCAGCCTTCAGAAATCAGACTTTTGAACCTTTAAATAATTCCACGCAATGCTGTCGTTGGTCCCTGCCTAAAGGTCAAGTGGAGGTCATTGAACTGCCAGAACGACTACATGAACACCAAACCCAAAGCACATAAGGACCAGAGGAAGAAGAGGGGGGGGGTTCAAATCCCGATTTGCCGTCACTTCTGACCCCCCCGGCGTCTCATCACCACGTGCACGGCCGTCGTCCTCATCAAGCGTTGTCACAAGTGAAGCTTTGTTCTTTTGTACCGTCAATACTGGTTGTCATGTGCCTACACGGCAAAAATGAGTAGTTTCTCCTTTGGCAGTTGTGGTTTTATGAAACATTAAAAAAAAGAAAAAAAAATGTACCCAACTTCCTGTTTCGCTTACACAGATTTTCAAATGGATCCCCTCTTTGTGGTTGAAACAGAAGTGGGTGTCTGAATGAGGGGATTTAACCACAGTTGTGGGGTTTAGTGGGCTTGTGAACCCACGTGGTGACACGCGAAGTCCGTCACTGGTCTCTGGAATGAAGAAATAAAAAAAAAAACAACACACACAGATCTCCTTCCACTCTTTTAATTCCTGAGAAGGCAGAAACATCACCGCGTGTTTTGCGAAAGTTAAAGTCGCTTACGTCGATGAGAACAAGATATAACCCAGAACAGGCAAACACAAGCCACACCATTTCCTGTGTTTCGCCCTCTTTTTTTTTATATTCCGTCATTCTTTCTGCAACGCGGCTGCTTCAAAGGGTAAACTTTACCTCGCTCACCTTGCAGCTTTTGTGCAGTTTCTGCCAGCGGCGCACAATCTGCTTTTATTGGTTTCATTCGGCGTCGCGGTCTCACTCATCAACCTGCGCGAGCATCAGCAAGAGCAACCCGTTCGATTAGCTTTTGAGGCCACTTAGAGACAGATGACAATGATAAAACGAAGGAGAAACGATTATATCCCCATCAAAATAAATCTTCATGTGCATCGCAGTCTATCCAGATTTGTTGAAATACTTCAAATTACTTCTTAACAGCACAACAAAATCTGGGTGCTCATGATGATTGCACAATTTGGGACTGCTAAAGCACATATAGCTCTTGGCATTTGTCCTCAAGACCCCCGTGACTCCACTTTGGGTTGCGAGTCGGCGCTGAGGTGTTCTGAGAAAATCCGCCTGCGGAGGAAAACCGTCCGGTCCTCCTCGGACTGCAGCTCCTCCTCCGTTACCTGGAGAACAGGATTAGGATTGTGTAAATCTTACCATCGTATTCAACATTATTTTAAAAAAAAATAGCATTTTCATTACATGTATTTAATGTGATGTATTTAATTAATTTAATTTATATTAAATTCATTTAGAAATATACATTTCAGGGAAATAAAATGCTCCCGCTTGAGAGGAACTCGTGGTTGCAGGCAGGTTAGAATTCTTGCACTACTACAAATTCATAAAGAAAGAAGACATATGACTCTCACCAAGATGGGCTCGTAGCCCAGCATCTTCAGATGGCGAATCTTAACAGCCAGAGGGCCGCGGGGATTAGACGTGCCGTAGCAAAAGGCCGAGTGTGGAGGGTAAATGACTGCAATCCTAGGACATCAACACAGGGAGTTTCTCCGTTTCAAAACGGTCAGAATTTGAATTGGCGTACAGGAATGAGAGTGTTGAAACGTGATTAATAGACAGAGCAGATTGTGGATGGAAATCTATTTAGCTACAGTAAGAAGGCGAAAACATCTATCTGCGAGAAAAAAAAAACTTGTAGAAGGGATAACTACGTACACACACAAAACGAAACAATCCGACACCTATACTCTACGTATAGAAAAGTGAATGCAAAGTTATATCCAAACCATTTAAAAATGTTGTAAATAGTAAAAATATGCACACTAAAAAACAACCTTATGTAAACGCTGGTGTTTGGATAGTTTCTGTTATAAATTAAGCTTTTTATAACGCATAATTCTTGACCATGCCGTAAGTCCTCAAGTAAATGGTGAATGAAAGAAGTACTTTGGACTCATTTAAACGTTTCAAATAGAATAACAGCGGCATCTAAAACTTCCCCACCCCTTTCAGAGCTTTATTCTTTGACATTTTCTAGACCTCTCTTGGGTTGAACGTATAGACTTTGTTGCGTGCGAAGCGGTGGAAGACATTGGACAAATGCAATCATGCGTTAATGCCCAACATTATCACAACAGAAGGCGCAAACATTCTCCATTCACCTGCAATAGGCACATTTTTTAAAGAAAATTAAAATTAAAAAACAGAACGCCACGGCAGCGGATTTGTTTCCGGTGAAGTTATCACCGGCACATCGGCATCTTACCTTTGACTGCTCTCTGCTGGAGGACTCTCTGCTCCTGCACAACTACTCGCTTCAGTCTCAGAGGTTTGGTGTGGCAGCTGTTTGGTTATCACAGCATCTGAGGGCGAGGGCGCACGCGCACACGCACGCACACACACACACACACACACACACACACACGTCACAGTTTCTATGGTAGCAGAAAATATCTTCTCTGAATCAACATGACTTCATTTATTAAAGCATTTCTGTAGAGAAACATTACAAATGAACCACTTATTGTGTCTTTCCTGGGACTGTCACAATAACCACTTTTTGTTGTGCGATTATTGCACCTAAATTAATTGCGATAAACAATATTATTGTAATTTCCAGACCATTTTATGCCACTGATTCCATAATGCCAGTATGTGTCGGCTGAAAAAGAACCCTTCACAACACAGCGGGCCTATCGCGACAGGCCTAGTCTTTACCTACAAGGTAGAAGTCCTCCACCACCACCATCTCATGCAGCGTCGTGTCCGCCTGGTCCTCCAGCAGACTCCGCAGGCCCTGCGAGAGCCACGGGTTGACTGTTTGGCCACTGGGGTTGGGGGCTCCCAGGAGGGATGGGGGGACGGTCGCCGGCTGATGGAGCAGGGTCGCCTCCAGACGGAGGCAAAAGTTCACCGTCTGAAACATCCTCTCCTGGTTGGGGAGGAACCTGGGCACTGAGAAGAAACAGAGGACGCTCAGGCGGATGAGTATGAGGTCGCAGGGCAGAAAAAAGACGGACTGGACTGTCCAGTGGGAAGGGATTCCATCGACTGACCTGTAGCGTGAAACCTCTCCAGCGTGCTGCTCTGCAGGAGCTGCTCCAGTGGTGCGGAGGGGAAGTGGCCGAGGAGACAAAGATGGTACACGACCTTTAACAACTCAAACGCGGACATCTTGGGCAGATAGGAGTCCAGCGCCTGGCTCAGACTCTCCAGGAACCTGGAACAGCAAGACGAAACCACACAAAGACACCGAGGAACTGTCACGTGCGTTATGCAACAACTACCGGCCGATGACATCAGATGAAGACGTGCGAGTGACCTACTGTTGTCTTTGGTGCTTCAGATCATAGTTGAGATAGGAGTATACCTTGAGGATACAGAGGAGGTCTTTAAGTGTCAGGGTGTCGGGATTGGCGCTCACATTCTTTGCAAACGCCTCCATTATGGCGGCGGGACAGAAGGCGAGGTTCTCCATCACAGACAGGAAGAGGACCACCTTAACGAAGAGGGGGGGAAACGCAGAACAAAAAAAAAAACACGCATTGATTAAGAATATTACACATTTCACAAAAGGAATTACAAAACAGTCCCTTGCGGCACCTGTTTTTTGGTCCATATGTCCATTGTAGAGGCAACGTATTCCGAAATGCCAGTGAGCAGATCGAAGTCTCTGTAGTGCAAATCCCGACAGGACTGCAGGACTGTAAACAGTCTGTTGAAGGGGATTCCATGGAGGTTTTCTACCAGAGAGGACAGAGAGGGTAACGAAAACTTTAAGACTTTAAGTCTTTTACGAGTGTAATAGTTAGCAACAATCTAATCTTGTGGAATTGGTTTCTACCTTTAATCGTCCTACTGCAGATATCTAGCAGTGGTTTGGAGTAGAAGCCCGTTGTGGCCATAGTTGAGATCATGTACTGGGTGTTGGGAAGGCTGAACTGGTCCGTCATTGATAGAGCCTTCACCTGTGCAGAATGAGTGAAAACACAGGTGATTTTGAAGTTAAAAAGTACAATGGGAGAGCTGATATCGGAGAATGTTGAGCAGTCAAGGAAGATGCCTGCACAAGAGTTGACCAAGAATCATTTTAAAATGACATATACCAAATACGGTCATACCCACAGACTCATGAACCAACCTCGAGTTTCCGTTTGAGGTCCAGTGGGGCGTCTTTCCCCAACAGACGCATACTGGTCTGAAGAGCAATAACATTCTTGATCCCGGGGAGACGGGCCTTAACTACCAACCTAAAACACAAAAAAAACGTCAATGCGGAAGGATCTGAAAAAGAACGGGTATATTTTTGGATGGTTGCATTGTTGGCTTCGCCATATGCATCCCTTCAATAATCCTGACCTCAAGCCCTCTTTAAGGGCAGTGACGTTGGTGCTGGCCTCCATATGTTCCAGACAGGAGGCCAAGATGGACAGGCCCTTCTCATCGAAGTCGTTCAGATTCTCCTGTTAGTGAACAACAAAACAGATCTTGAGAAACACTGAAGAAAAATTAGCTCCAACATGAAAAACACATTTCTCTCTGCCTACCTGACAGCTTCGCAGGAAAGTCTGCACCACGCGGCTTCCTTGGGGAACACCCAGTTGGACCATACTCAGGAGACAATACGCCACGTCCTCGTTGCGCATGTCTCCCACTCTCTTCATGGCTTTTTGCAGAAGCTTGTCGAACGCGGGGTTCTCAAACATCAGCTGCAGCTCGTAGCGCTGCTGCTCGTCGGACATCTTCTTGGCGGTGGACCACATGCGGGTCATGCAGTTGCTGACCTGTCGAAGTGTGGGCGAGTACCGAGTGGTGAGGTCCAGCACGTCCGACGGGGAGCGGCAGCGCTGGAGGTGGTCGTGGAAAGGCGGCCTCCTCGGTGTCCGCTCTGAGCCCGTCTCATCGGGCCAGATCTCATCGGACAGGGACGACTCTCCGACCGGAGACGAGAGACGCGTCTTCTCCTCCAAGTCCTCATTGTGAATCCCACCGCGAGAGTAAAACCTGACTGAACTTCTATCGAGGAATGTCTGGCTTTGCCTTGTGCTCAAAATGTGCTCACTCGGGAAAGGTGTGTCATTTACTGATGTTGTCAACAAGAAACTGCGCTGTTGCCATGGAGACCTGCGACTGCATACGCGCAGGACACGTCTCACGACCACCCCTGTTAGCTGGATGGACATGATTATTAAAGACTATTTAAAGGGTGAAAATAGAGAGTAGGAGACTAGTACGTCCTTAATTTAAACACGGTCACTAAGGGGGCAAATAGCTGACTATCAAATTAAATATATGGTAAGAAACGGTGACAACTACAAGCTAAGTTAACACACAATTAACATTAGCTATCTGACTGGTGACATTTTACACTTTCTGACACATATAACATAATTATTCAAATAGCGAGCACAAATAATGCATTACAGCGTATGACTAAACTGGCAACAAGGTCAACAGACTGCCTCCCTCGAATGTTAGCGGTTGACGTTAGCTACGTGACACCCCATAACGCATTTCTATATAACTGTTAAGTAACGCTCCCACAACAACACAAGGGACTCGCTAGACCATTTAACATTGGGAATCAGAAGATGTTTAGCAAAGGGGCACGGAGCTGACTTACACTAAAATGATTCAACGACCAGCTCATGTAAGCTAGCATTCTCATGTGCTGCTGCTCGCTGCTATGTGCGTCGCCATATTAAGTCCCCCTGTCAACTTGGTTATGTACACTACGCACTCGTCAAAATATAACAAATAAAGTTGCTTTTGGAAATATTATATCTCAATAACAATATAAGTTAGGGTTTGAAAATTATTTAAAGGGTTAAATTATAGATTTCAATGTTATCATCACACGTTCTGCTCTTATTTGTTCTCGTGGTGGTTCCAATACGGACACAAATAAGTGTAGCATCCACGGTTTCCTAGCAACCAAGGTCTCCCTGACAGAATGGCAAAACTTGTGCTCGCTGGTAAAGGCCGATTTTAATAATCTGATAATATGTACGTGTATGTAAAATGTCACATTTCTAATTTGAATATGAACCCGTGCAGGCAAAGCAGACTGTCCACATTACGCCAAAGCGGAACTCTTATCTGACAGACTACAGCGATCTCTTCCTGACTTCCGGATTCACAAGATCTCCATTCTCCCACATGAGTGGCGGGTAATTATCATATTTTAAAACGTTGTTCAGCATGTTTATTTTTTTCTTATCATTACTATATTTTCAGGTACCTTATTTGTCAACTTTCACTGGTCTCTGATAGAAATGGCTGGAGGCCACCTGCACCAGAAATGGCTGGAAACATGAGAGGTCCCCCCTGGTTTGGAGGGAACTTGTGCACCAAGGGGGGAAAGGGATGCTGTTGGGGGGCTTCAGTGACTTCGTAGAGCACTGCCAGGTAGTCATACCTATTTAGTTTTTCACTTCTAAACTTTCATAAATGCCAATTTCTGTACTAATTTGTTGTGCAGGACTACTACAGCATCACATCAGACATGCTTACGGATTCAATGCTGGCGGTTGCAGCAGAGAATCTGGAAACCAAGATGAATATTATTGCAGAGGAGCAACGTTGTCTCAATCGCATTGAACCCCTTCACATATGGATCAGTAGGTGTGTTAGTCTGAAAAACTCAAATTCAAAGAAGCATAAGTATGTAAATGTTTTATTTTCCCCTACGTTTCCAGCGCTCTCAACCCAACCTGCAACTTCCTCATCCCCAATCTGCTCTCTGCTGAGGTGTTCCCCCATGTCTCCACAATCAGCCTCCACCTACTGGACTTGAAGGGGAATGAGGAGGGATTGCGGGGGCTGAGGATGGAGACAGAGGACCTGGCACTCCCTCTGCTCCATCAAGTATTCAGCTTTTATTCGGCATACTTTTTTTGTCACAATATCTGAAGGAAAATAAAGCCAATCTAACTTTTTACACTCCCAGGTGTCTATTCACACAGATCTGGATCAGGCTTTCCAAGGAGCGGATGTCATTCTACTGCTGGATGAGTGGTGGTCTGATGACGGTGATGGGGAGGAGCAGAAGAAAAATGTCAAGGGGATGTCTGACAGGTACATAGAGTACGGACAACTGATCGACACAAGGGCCAACAAGGAGGTGAAGGTCATTGTGTCTGCTGACTCATTTGCCAACTGGAGATGCTCACTTCTTTTGGAGCATGCATGCTCCATTGACAGCCACCAATTTATCACCATGGCAACTCAATTAGAGAATGAAGCCAAGGCCATCCTCGCAACAAAGCTGAAAGTGAGGACTTCAGGTAGTAAATTCTCTCTCTGTACGACTTCTACATATTCCCACTGCCTTTTTTTTCACCAGTGACAAATAATCTTTCTCCTGCTCTAGATATTAGAAATGTCATCGTGTGGGGAAACATCAGTGGTAGTTTCTACATCGACCTGCAGTGGACGAAGGTTTTCAACTATGACGGGGCAATCAAAGGACCAGCTTTCTTTTCCCAGCCAGCTCTAAAGCTTCTACACCAAAGGTTTGCCACAACAGTCAATCCGTATAGCTCATGGGCTGTATACCCGGAAATCCGACAACCTCTTTCCCCTCTGCCAGGAAATGGTTGGAGACAGACTTTCAAGACATGGCACGTCGTCGGCGTGCGGAAGCGGCTTCAAAGTCCTGCCGAGCGGCCTCCATGTCGGCCGCCGACGGGATCCTCGCCGTCCTGGCGGCTTGGAACGGCGGCTCCGATGGGGTCTTCTCTGTGGGTGTACTTTGCCAAGGTGAAGACACAACTCGACAATGGGACAGCGATTCGGGCGAATGTGCCCAGTGATGAAATGTGATTGTCTTTGGCTACTTGCAGGCGAGTATAATCTCCCAGACGGCATCGTCCTCTCACTTCCAGTGAATTTCACAGGCGGCAAGTTGGGCGTGCTGTCCGAGGCGACCATCGGAGACGAGCTAAAGGAGAAACTTTGTTTTTTTGCAAGGGAGCTAATGCAGGTATATCAGGTTAAAAAAATAAAAGATGTTGGACAATGTATATTTTTGTAGCTTCATACGTTTAAACAAAAAGTGTTTTTTTTCCCAGGAAAAAGAACTTGGATCAGAGGTTGCAGAGCATGGATTGTTATAATCGAAGAAGACAGTGGATGCCTTAAAATGATCAAAGGAAATAAACCAGATACATCTTCGTGCGACAAGTTTGTTTCAGTTTGTTCTTTTATTCTCTCACTTTCAGATGTGTCAAACTTTAATGACAATAAATCTTTTTCGCTTTGTAAAACTCTTCCATAAGCAGTTATGGTTTTAGATGTAAAAGATCAAACTGAGTACTTTATGGAAAAAGGAGAAATTAGAAAATATATTCCTTTTAAAATTGTACAGTTCAGGAAGTGCATTTTTTTACAGTTGAATAAGCGATACTTGTAGCATAAAACACACTGGTACTGTACACAAACTAATCTGTTAATATCTCTCTAAATCAGATGTTATTATCCACCCACTTGCATTTACAGTTGGGCAGTCTTGAAAATAAAGACTTCAAAACTTTTCTTCCCCTTATTGGTAATTAAATATTTAACAAACTGAATTCAATGGGCTGGTTTAACCTGAAACATTCAAATAGATTATCTTTCTTTTCTCACAAATTGTGCAGTACTTTGTCAGATAGACAAGGAGAACTTGAATAGAGTGCTGTTTTTACATGCAGAATACACTTTTTTTTTTGCATTTCTACACTATACACGAGGAGGCGTGGACTGAAAAAAGGAAAGGTTTGTACGAACGCAGTGCACTACGACAAGTTGGGAAATGGAGACGTTCTGTAACGTTATATTCAATGTGTACAACCCACCCCTGAGATTCGGATGCCGAGTGGTTCACAAAAGGCAAAAATCAGCCTCTTTGTACCATCAAGCCTGGTGCTAGATTTCCTTTTTGACAGGTCAAATGTTTCCCAGCAGATACAACATGTTAGTAAAGAATTAGGTTCTTCCAAAAATCAAAACAAAATCCGTAACACTCTTGCAAATTGATCATGTGATCCATGCATACACTTGTCGTGGCACAAAGGTTGTTATTTGTTAAATATACATACACCAGTGATGACTATACAAGCAACCAAAAGGTATAGACGGGCCAATCATACAAGAGGTGCTTGTGTCTTTCAACGCGGTTGTAGATAAACAATATACTCCATTACATATGGGTGTATGATATGGATGAAATCTGCAAATATGAATAACCAGGAAGCATCAATCACAGAAAATTCAGGAAGATTTTTTGTTTTGTTGCTACATCAGTCACGTTTGCGTACGGGTAAAGATATCCTACCTGTCGACATCCAACAACGTCAAAGATTTAGTTTCCATTGCCAGGCAACAAGTGAAAAACCACGACGGACTTTGTTAAAACTAACTTGAGACTGAGGACAAAGTGAAGGAAAAGGCTATTGTTTGACTAAGTGGAACTCAAGAAATACGCAAACTACATTTTAAACCCGGACGTTCACGGTGTCATAATGGTCATACAATCATCACGGGCAACTAAGGGGATTCAATGGAGCTTTTAAACTATCCCTCAATTTAAGAGTAAAGTTTCATCAAATGACATTTAAATTAAATAATTTACAGCATATATTAAGTTATATTATCCCACATTTAAACTCTTCATAACACCATCTACACAAACATCTGAAGAAACACACGGTGGAAGTGTTCTGGAAGCTCTGAGCCAAGTTGGAAAATAAACGGACCGGGTTTCACTGCACCGCAAGAAATGTGGCTGTGGATTTATCAAGCAAATATCAATGTTAGATGATCAAGCAAAATCAATATATAAGATGCTTTGCTAACCCTTTGTAACCGTTAACCTGGGCCAGCTTTGCCCGAAAACCTGCTCTCATTGAACTGGAGACGAGGAGGCCGGTCACAATAAAACTCAACAAGTGGTACTGAGGCTGAACGGACTGTGTGCCCTGTAAATAAGGGCTGATTTAAACAGAACACCCAACGTACTTTCAACCATATGCCGCCTAATCAGCAACCAACTGCGTTAAAGGCCAAACTCTGATAAATGTTATATATATATATATATATATATATATATATATTTAGAAGGGTGGACATAATGTAGTGCTAACGTACAAATAAAAACGCTTGGGACCGGGAGGGAGGCAAAGGAGGGCGGGTGGGAAGCTATGACTGTGGTTGATGCTGAGGAGACAGAGGTTTCTCTGGGGCTCCTGAGGTTGCTCCCACCGCCTGCCTCTCAGTGTCCATCCCCTCATCAAACTGATCCAGTTCACTCTGGTCCAGCAGCTCAAAGTCTTCTTCCTCGGTGGGAACCAGCGTGTCGTCGGGCAGGTCCTCGCCGGTGCCGCTTCCTGTCGTGACCACCTCATCATCCGGGTCCTCGTCTGTTCCCCGCGCTCCTTGCGCGGTGGAGGTCTCCAGAGCGCCCGCTGGGGCTTCGGCGGGAAGGAACTCGGCCATGGAGGGGTCCTCGCTGGAGCGCAGCAGCGCCGACAGAGTGTTCCGCACCACAGTGGAGATGGCTGTGCTCACGATCTCCTCGCTCAGGGCCTCCAAGGACTGTTGTGCTCCCTCGGTTACCGCGGTCTCCTCCCCCTCCTGCGCTCCCGCGTCCCCCTCTGCACACGGCACGGGCAGCCCGCCCTCCTTGCTCCCGGGTGGTTGTCCGTGTCCGTTGAAGTGCGTGTTCACAAAGTGGAGCGGGGACGCCAGGTGCTGAATGAGGAGGCTGGCGGGGCTCAGTGGCTCCCTGTCGGATTGAGCCGTGGCCGGGGCGGCGGCGTCGCCCTGGCCGGGGGCCCGCAGGGGGAAGTGGAGCAGGTTGTGCTCGATGGATGGGAACTCCTCCACCGAGGGGAACTCGGGGAGGTCCCGCAAGTAGGTCTCCTCCGCCTCGCTCTGCAAAACTCCGCTGGTCCCAGGTCTGCGGATGAAACGGGAAAAAAAACTGAAGCATTTAAGCCAAATTTAAGAAACAAACTATAAATCATTAACATATACTGTTAACTTTTAAGCTAGTAATTAATCTATGGTTCCTGCGTGAACTGAAGTGCGACGTCGATACGAGCGATCACTCACCTTCGGAGACGTCGGTGAGTTGAGGAGTGGTGGCCCTGGACACAGAGAACCCTCCACTCTCCAGGATCGATGCCTCTTCATCCGACAGCTCAGAGTCTGTGATGGCCATCGCCAGAGCTGTGGTCTTTGCGTCCACCTGACCAACAAAACCACAACTTCATATCACTGCCGAAAACACCAATGTGCCATCGTCCTCCTCAGCTTTAAAAAGGTGCGTCTCCTCACCGTCGTGGCGAAACAGGACAGCTCCTCCTCACTCTCACTCTCAGTTTCGGCCCTCGGCTCGTCGCCCTCCTCCCCTTCCTTTTTCACCTCTGTTAAAAAACACACACACACACACACACACACACACACACACACACACTTTTAAAATACATGTGAACAGATGCACACCTTCGAATATCGTATATATTCCATATCAGAAAGAAAAACCAGTAAGATATTCTTCCTCATGGTACACATCCTCCTTGCTTGGTTAAGTCCAATATTAATCAACTCAAAAGCATGTGCGTCCGTCACTGCAAGATTCTAAATGTGATGCGATGCACACAAGCGACCATTCAGAATGGACGGCCCGACGGGGTCCAGTAGCACACACTTCTCTTGTCGTGTTTGCGGTGCTCGGTCTCCCCCTTCATGCTGTAGTCCAGTTTCATCAGGATCGGCTCCAGGCCCGTGTACATCCTCTGGATCAGTTCGTGGTACACCACCAGCGGCCACAACAGCACGCTCAGCACTGAACGGGAGCAGAAAAAGAAACAGGAGAAAATGGAACACAGAATTTCTTATAAAAGCAATAAAATGCACACCACATGCAGAAAAAGGGTAGAGACAGATCTATGAATGAGGTAAAAAGCAAGTGATAAGTATCTAATTGCTCCAAAATATTTAAATACCAGCATGATCTTAGAGAGACATAACCTGCACAGTCAACAGGTTACCTGATATCTTAATACCTCATTCACTGCGAATTACTTATTATCTCCCACCCTGTTTGTCGGGACTAGCACAGATTCCCATGTTAATTCATGGCTTAGCACAACAGTTTCCTTACGCCAAATGGGAAAGAAGTGACTCACCAATAATATAGGAGATCATGATCCCAGGTACATAATGCCCAACCACAGCAAGAACGAAACAGCCACTGCACATCATCAGACAGAACTGAAAAAAAAAAAAAAGAGTAGGTGAGAAAAAATGGACTATTACACGTTCAAGCTGCACAGGGAAACTAAGTTGCTTTTGCTGTAAATTAGCAAGACCGCTTTTTAAACAGAAAATGATCCCATTCCATCGTCTGACTCATAAAGTTCCTTTCCTCGTGTGTCACTGGGCAGAGTCAAAGTGCTGTACCTTTCCATGGTTCTGCCGTTTGTACTGCAGCGTCTCCTGCAGGTACAGGCAGTAGGTCAGGTAGCTTTCCGCCAGGTGGTGGCTGAGCTCAGGAACACTGAGGAGTCGCTGCTCCCCGCTCAATGTGTCACTGTATCCAAATAGGAACACACACACAGTCATAGAGAGCACTTCTGAAATTACTCAAAAAGAGGTTAAATGAGATTCTCTGTGAATGACAAGACAGTGGAGCGCACACAAATAAACACCAATAAAAGAGACCATGCTACACTGGTAGCTCTGAATTAGTTCTGATGATCCGGTGCGACATGTGAACGAAATGTCACAAACGTGGAGAGACAGAGCCCTCGCTGTTGGACTTTGACGGACGGCCTCATTTGGAACAGATTCAGGAAATGAAAACACACAGATGTCGGTCTGTCATGCACACACACTACATACCGTTGTTCAGGGGGAGCCTCGGCGTGTTGAACTGCGGCAGAAGCGAAACACACAGTTAGCAACAATTTGGTACTTTGTTAACCCTTAGATGCACGAGTGACTGGACCCTACACTCTTCCATAAGTGGGTCAAAAATGACCCATATTAGAATCTGTGTGTTTTTATGCCATTTTTGGTCATTTTGGTTAAGAATAATCACTAATATAATATTTAGTATTATATTTAGGACCACAGAAGAATGATTTCATGTCTGAACTGCATTCAGTGAAGTCGCATCACTGAATGCAGTTCAGACAAACTACCTGTTTCTGGCTGTGATCATTGCACACAGGTACATTGCATTTCCCACACCTATTGTTGACTTTGCGATCTTTGTTACTTGGGCAGATCTGACACCTCTTTCTCTTTGGTTGGCCCTGTCTGCTTCCTTCCTGTGGCTGGGTTGTGGCTTTTGTCACCCCACACCTTTCCATTGCTTCAAGAATTGGGTTTGCAGTTGGGGGCAGCCTTCCAGTCGACTCCTCATGTGTGGTGTGACAAGCTCCTTTGAGAGCTCTTTGAGGAAGAGCCGTCGTATTGAATTCTGGGTGCTGAGCCGTGAAAAAGGTGTAGGCATTCAGGGTGGCGATGTCAATTATGTTGTACCACAGCACCATGGGCCACCTCTGTGTTTTGCGCTTGGAGGTGTAGGTGCCAACCATCTGGTCAGTGGTGTCTACACCTCCTTTCGTCTTGTTGTAATATGTGATTACTTCTGTTTTTTTCTTTCTGCTATTTTCATCCACTTCTTTGTCGTGGTGCATCGTGCTTAGGAGCCCAACATCTTTTCCTTTCTTTCTGACAAAGCTGACCATGGTAAGGCTGTCGTTGAATCCAAACTCTTTGCTGTGAACCTCCCTGGACTTGGAAGGCTTCATCAGAGGAGGGATGTCTGGCTTGTTCTGACGTAGAGTCCCCACAATAGTGGGATCCTTCTCCAGGAGATGCTGCGCAAGAGGCACACTGGTGAAAAAGTTATCCATGGTGATGTTGCGACCTGTGTTTCTAAATCTACTACACAACTGCTGGACAATGTTTTCCCCCAGATTCTTCTGAACTTCTTCCCCTGGTTGTCTCCCCGTGTAAACTATACCATCTATTGCATAGGGGATGCGTGCATCACAAACCCAGAAGATCTTTAGGCCGTATTTGGCGGGCTTGCTTGGCATGTACTATAGAAACTTGCACCTACCCCTGAATGGCACAAGGTGTTCGAAAACAATCTTCCTGAGGGTTGACACTTCTGATATAGTCTGTGTGGTCCACAGTCAAATGTATTCCTGACAGCCACAGTTGATAAGAATCAAAGGTTCCCATTGGATTCCATAGAAAAATTTTTGACCCAATTATGGAAGCTTGGGGTAGTAATACAAAAACTACAATTTCTTAAAATGTATAACAGGTAAGTTAAAAATGTAAATGGAATTATATCAAAAACATGTTTTTTGAGGAAGATATTTCAAGAAAACAACCTCATCGGGTCATTTTTGACCCACTTGTGCATCTAAGGGTTAATAAGGAAATAACAGCTAACATATTGGGGCGGGGATCAAGTATATTCTTCAGGTTGTCATTACCTGAAAAACAGCAATAACACTACGCTGATCTTCTATCACTTGTGTGGTTCAAATCTTTCTTTAAGAATGTCAAAGGGAAAACCGACACTGTCAAAGCAGGTTTCTCCATCCGGTGAAGGTGCGGCGTCCCACAGCCATAGATTTAAAACGGGCTCAGCGACAGTTAAGAGTGACAAAGCCCCGGGACCATGTTCAAATCCCATTAACGGCTGGGCTTACTGGTAATGATGGGCAACGTGGGCTTCCACCTCTCCAGCAGCATCACTCCCAGCAGGGCCACACTCAGCAGGAACAGAGGCCGCAGGCAGGTGGCTGACAGGAGCCTGTGCAGGGGCAGAAAATAAACAACGGCTTACGTTCTGCACAGGTTATGAACTTGACATTGGCGTGATAACGTAACGTAATACACTTATAACTTATTAAGCCGCTCTGTTGGCAGAACCGGTCAGCGGGTCAACAAGGCCCGGCCACTTCCTGGCCACTAAGCATGACACGAGGGTTTGTTTGGGTGAAGCAGAACCAAAGCCAACAGGTGTAACCCCTCTAAAATAACCCTATTGTATATTTCATCAGCACCATATCGTCTGTCCAATGAGTATTTAACACGTGACGGCGTATGTGCTCTGCGCTAAACTGTCTCGCTAGCTACGTTAGCATCAGGCTAACGACGTGGCATTAGCTAACTTATTTTGACGTTCTCCTCGCAATACCATCGCCGGCGTTAGCCAGCTAGCTAATGGTGTCAAATGCGACATTATCGGGCTCTCGGAAGGAGGCGAAACGGGGGGTTTAAACACGGGTTTGGTCGGTTACCAGAATAATGTGTTGAGTGTCAAGGCGACAGTGATGCTGTACAACGGCCTCTCCCAGACCAGCAGCCTCTGCAGCCATAGCAGCAGGGACTCGTACTGCGAAAGCCAACCCTGGAGAAGCTCCCGCAGACGGACGAGCTCCGGGTCCTCGTCCCCGCAGACCCGCTCCGATGAACCTGCGGGGAACAGAGACTCCAGGCCGACCGAGGAGGAGGTAACCGAGGGGCGTCTTCTTGCCTCCTCTCCGCTCGCCATGTTTCCCCCACTGTTATGTTGTTTTGGATATCACGGGGTATATGGGGAGATCGCCATCAAAAGGTGACGAGTTTGCAAGCACTGAGCATCCGGTTGTGATTTTTGAGATAAAATCAATCGCCTTTAGCAACAGGTGGACGAAGTAGCAATGAGATGATGAAAATATGAATATTTGATATATAAAGATATTCACATTTTAAAAGTATTAGATGTAATTGTGGAAATTATTTGATGACATTTTATCAGATAGGTTTATTCTTTTACTCTGGAGGCAACCCATTTCCGGTTGCATTGTTGATTATTTCTGACAACTTGACTCAGCCACTGCCAGATGGGCGGACGGATCACAAGGCCAGTCACGCAACAAAAAAACAAACAGTCACGTGGTTCCTTGTCGTTGAAGCTCAAGTGTACCACCGTGTGGTTAGAGATATGGCAACATTATAATTATAAAACACTTGATACCTGCAACATCCCTCCCCAACACGTTCACCCCCCTGCTCGCCTGGGGCTTTTTGTTGTTGTTTTGTGAATTATTTATAAAAGTGCCCTTCGGACATAGAAATACCGCACACCAGCAAGTTTTTATACAAATGTTTAATACAGAAATATACAGCTGTGATCACTTTGATCAAATGCAGCCAACATATACATTGTGCTGGGGATTGAATACAGTATCAAGGCCAGCTCACTAGTATCATTGTTTCTTGAACGCAGCACATAGATAACAAAATACATATTAACGTAAAGTAGCAAAGCCGAGGGATTATTTCCCCTCTTGTGATTTCTTATTTCACTCTCAAGTTGATTTCTGAAACACATAAGCAAAAGCTACAATCATTCCACTAAGCAATTATTGTCATTATCCTAAAAAAAAAAGAGGCTTGAGAGGCCTACCCAGCGGTGTACGCGACCAGGACTCAAGCGTGCACGGGTGGTGAAGGAGGGAAGGGGACATTCTGTCCTCTGGTGCTAGGACAGAAGGGCATCAACACCTGCAGGGGTTAAGACCATGCTCTGCAGCAGGTCAGACAAAGAGACGATGCCCTTCACCACGTTAGCCCTGTCCACCAGGACCAGCCGATGGACCTGAGGGTAAGGAGGAAAAAAGACGAGGGAAGAATGTCCTTATATTTCACAACGTATGGGGAAATGTTTGAGACCATATACGCCTTTGAAGAATCCACCCACCTCTGCGTGGACTATCCGGTCTACGATGGTTTCCAAGGTTTCATAAGGGTAGCACTTGATTACCCCCTCCACGAAACACGAGCGCCCGTTCACGGCGTCCCGCATGGGCACGTCCAGGTTGTTGTAACTCTTCTGGGCTGCTAGATTCTGCAACGGAGCAAACATGGAACCCCTTAGCGTGTGAGCAGGTGTCAGCGGACGACGCCACAAAACGCAAGGACGATCAACATTAGAGAGAACACTAAGACGTAGTACTCACAATCACATCAAATCTTGAGTAGAGTGACACCACTTTGCCTGAGAAAACAATGATTGGTGTATCTATATGGAAAATGGTAACAGATGTTTATACTGAATAATACGGCACTGCATGTAAAACACGCTTTAGAGAGCATACCTTGTTCGTCCACCACAGGTAGTGCAGACACCCGCCTTTCCACAAATATGGCGAGGGCGTCATAAAGCGTTGCCGTTTGCTGCACGGTGGCGATGTTCTTGAAGGTACCGATCCCGAGCTCCTGGATCTGCCTTCTCATGAAGGCCGGCTTGGGAATTTTTCTCCACTGAAAACGCCCGAAAACGACACGGTAATAGAAGTGCATCAACCCGTGCAGACATGCAAAATCAGGGAGGTAAATCCCATGCTAAACGTCTGCTTGCTCACAAATATGTGGAGGAACTTGAGGATTCTTTTGTGGGTGAGAATGTGCAAGACGTTCCCAGACTCTGGATCAATGACGGGCAGCCTGTGGATCTTATACTTAAGTAAGGAATAGACAGCATCAAAGAGGCTAAGAGGAAAGAGTAGAGGCGACAATTTACTGCGAGTAGACCAAAATGTAAACTGAGGTGGAATGTTTTTCCATGGATTTGGCCTGAGTGTGTTACCTGGCCTCTGGAGAAATACTAATGAGGATGCGATTGGAGCTCTGAAGGTAGACATCTAGACAGGAGAAGACACAGATCTCAAATGCTGATTCACAGAGGCGGGTGCGCCCGAGATGTCAACACTGATCCGGGGTGGTTATTTACTTTCAAATGAGTCACCTCTCCATGTCTCGATCTTGTGGCTCTCCAGCTCGTACATTTGAACCTTTCAGAGGGAAACCCAAATGGGAAGATACGAGTCATCGATGACACACCAAGTGGGTCCAATCTAAACAACTCTGCAAAACCTGCTTTCCAGTGCTGCATATGGGATATGATGTGAATAATAAAACTCATGTCTCATCTATGCGATAAGTGTTCAAATTTAGTGAAGTCATTCTCACCATAGGGGACCTGTAATAGTAATGGAGGATGTTGATGAAATCGGTAATAGTCAGCATACCTATGACAGAAAAGGATTTATGTTCCCACAGTTACAATTCACAGTGGCCGATTCTTCATCACAAATACTCCATCAGACCCTTAACTTACCCACAAACCTCTGCAACTTGCTGTCCCACAACGGCGCCGCCCTCAAGCCATTTGCCACTAGTGCTAAAAAGGCCTTTTTCACCTTTTGGAAGTCAAAATGTCAAACAGTCAGTGAGGATTTGATAAGAGAATAAACCGAGGCTCACGCGCACGGGTCGCGTTCCTTACTGGTAGTTTGGTATCAAATATGACCAGTTTACAGCTGGTTGGAATGGCGTCATAGCAGCTGTGGCTCCTCATGAAGTCCATGTAGACGGCAGCGTCATGCTCTGTGAGGAATCCTGTCGTAGCACACTTAATAAACAGCTGAGCACACTACCTGATGCATTACACACACACACAACAGGCGTGGGCAGCCCAGATCCATATGCGTGCGGCCAATGGCTGCGGCCGTACCTTGTTTCTTCATTTCCTGCATCTTCCCTGCGAGTGACACCTACAACAGAGCAAGGGAAACACGACACGGTCAGAGTGGTTAGAAATCCACAAGGGCGACTTCCTCTCCAATAATATTTTGACCTTCTAGTTATGCTCAACCCAAAAGTACCGTTTCACCTGCGAGGGAGGCCCCGTGGTTCCTCTGCGTGTCCATGGAAAAGTGGATTGGAGAACAAGTGGAAGACGCAAAGGGCCGCAGGAGCTGCGCTGTTTTTTTTTTTTTTCCCTTTCCCCCAAAGCCTTCGGGTCTATATTAGGAGCGCTCGGGTGGCATGCGTCGGGCCAGGAGAGGAGGGGAAGGGTAAGAGGAGCTGGCACAGGCTCGGGGAGGGGGGGGAGGGACACTGAAGGCTCTGCCAGGACCAGACATCGGCTTCCCTTCCATTCTTTTCATAGTTTTAAACATCTGCTGCCAACTCGGGATCACATAGCCACCGTTTATTGGCTTCAGAGGCGTTGAATTCACCCGCGGAGATGATTTTTGCGACCAGAACGACCATGTCAGAAATTAAAATCTATATGGAGTAAATGTCAAGGGTCTGTACAGGCAAAGTCTTTCCAAGAGGCGTAAGTTACGAAGCGCATCGTTGGCTATAAACAAGTCGCACGCTGACAACAATTGACGACAATTAACAAAAGGTCAAATAAGTGCTTCCTTTATTATTTCCCGTTTCTCCTTTTTACAGATTTGTACAATAATTGCATTTTACACCATGTACAAAATGAAAGAACATTGTTCTGTATCAAATTCAAATGTTTTTTTGATTATAAAGTCAATGTCTCGGGGGACCACACACACCACCCACCAGAACCCTATTCGAAGTGACAAGAAACCCGCTGGAGCCCATAGGTATTAATCTCGCTTAACCTTTACCATGTTACAGAAAAGCGCCTGTCAGACTATGCAACATACTGTCAACCCACAAAAGAAAAATTTGACAGACCTTTAACGCTATAAATGACCAGAATAGGTGGAGGTTCTTTTTCTCTTCCTGTGTGGCCATCGACCATTTTGCTGAGGTGTGAAGACGGCGTCTGCATTCAAACTGTCTACTTCCTGAATAAACTTTGTTTCACAAACAGTAACAGAAATATGGTGTGCAAAATCAGTGCTTGCTGCACATGTATGACAATTGTCTGATAAAAAAAGCATGTAAGCCATTCATGAAAAACACAATGCTAAAACAAAGCAAGTACGGATAAGCCCTAAAAGAAGTAGTCACAGTTAACGGAGTTAGTACCTTCTTCTCAGAGCTGCTTCATTAAAGAGAAAACGTACTTAAAACTAAACTCTTTTTTGCTGTGCAACCTCCCCACACCTTCATTAACTTGCAAAGTAGCAAGCAGCTTCACCATCTGTAATTTAATAACTCAAAACTCACACCACCACCAGATGGGTCTGAACTTTCGACCGTTAAATGTCAGTGGCAAAACACTTAAACAGTGGGAAAAAACATAAACTATCTTTAAATTGTGAACGGTGATATTTTTTTGTATTCTGAACGAGCTGCAGAGCATCAAACTATGGCGTTTTTTTTTTTTTTTGGCATCCGGAAAAGTAAACAAAACATGACTTGACGCAGTTGATGAGTCATGAAAACACGACGCTGTTTTTTTTTTATTCCAGAGTCCACGAGCACAGGTCGACGGCAGGAGTGGGAGGGTGCCAATCGCTACCCGGGCATCAGCAGAGCTTGGGCTTTGTCAACGGGTAGCATGGACTTTGGGTGGGAGGGTCCCAGCTGTATGGGGGGAAACACCCCCAGGCGAGAGTTCAGGTTGGGCTGCGCCCCTCCGAGGAGGCCGGAAGCCAGCCAGGGCGCGCGGTGTTGATGTTGATGGTCCTCTCTGGGGCCGTGAGCTGTCGAGGTGTTTCGGAGACCGCATTGAAGAGGAGGAAAGGATGCAAGGCAGCCGGGACAGAAGAAGGAGGCGGGAGACCAGGCTCGGGGTGTTTCTGTCTCGGAATCAGTTTCAGGATGTATGTGACCCATCGAGGCAAGGAGGGAGCCCCAGAGACACAATAGCGAAGTCTCAGAGGTAGGGGGGCTTTGTATGGGTTCCTGGCCAATTCCAAGTGTACCGCTCCGATGGCTCACACTCTTGTTGGCCAGGTTGCAACAGGGGAGGGCCGGAGGAGGAGCTTCTGTATTCGGGTCGGTGTGAAGGTCGGGGCTAATCTCAGCCGGAGGTGGGAGCAGGGACTGGCCGCTTTTGGAGAGGCTGAACTGGTGCAGCACAGCGCTGGTTGCAATAAGGCCGGCCACACTGGTCAGGTACACCAGGCCAAGCATACAGGAAACCTGTAGAAAAAAAAATACAATAAAATAAATCGGATGAAATAAATGGAGGTAAAATACAGCTGAAACATACCAAGCCTATAAAAACAGCCTCTCCATCCTTCTTACCTTAGTGAAGTGCTGGCAGATGGCTGTGAGGGCGTGACTCCACGCCGACTGCTCCAGTAGCACACAAAGGTCAGTGTAGGTGAACCAACCGCGTTTCATCCCCTGCCGCTCTGCAATGCTGGTGATGTAGGGGCCACAGTCAGAAATATATATTCCCCCCCCCACACACAAAAGTTTGGTTTCAAATTTGACAAATCAAACTACGGTACCTGGTTTCCACTTGACTCAGCACATCAAATAAGTCATTTGGCTCCGTGAAGAGGCTCCACTCCTAGAAGATTTTAGGACACAGTGGTTGAGACAAAGAACTAGAACTAGAACACACACATAAAAAGGCAAATGCGTGCACACACAGACTTACAATGGCGTTCAAGAAGTTAATCTCCAGGTTATTGACGGTTTTGACGTCCAGTTTCCCAGCCGCTCCCCACTCGTCGTTGAAAACCTCTTCTTCCTCGCCTTCGTCGTACAGGTACTTGCTGGCAACCATCTTATTCGAAGAAGAATCGGTGGAATGAGATCAAACAGCAGTCTGGGACCCACATGTACCAAACTGCTTTCAGAAATCACGAGTGACACATTCAGATCGACCCATGAACCACATACCATGGAGATCAGGAAGAGGTCAGAGGATGAGATCTTTTGTAGGTACTCAGGGTTTCTATGTCGGAGCCTTTCTATGTAAACTAGAGCCAGCATCATGGCACAGGGCGAGATGCAAGCCTCCCTGGAGTGAAACAAAATTCATTTGGTTTTAGATGTGTGACAGGCAGTGTACGATTAGTTCCTGCAAGAATGTTAAAAAGTACAAACCTGGAAACATGAGCAGCATACTTCTTCTGGAGCTTGCGTATGGGGCTTGGGGCGGACTTCTGGAATATTTCAACAGCGATATCTGGAATCACAGGACACGAAGACTAAAGTGATCTTGCGTGCGATCATAATCGATCGATCGGAGACGCGAAAGGTTTCACGTAAGTTACACGGGGGGAAACGGAACTGTATTATTCAGCAACAAATGTGCCCCTTTCTTTACATTGACTTACTACAGCGAGTCAGAAAAGAACAACTTGCAACTTGTGAGCGAACCCGCGTACATTCAGCACACAACTCACCTGTAACAGGAAAAGAGAAGGAATCTAGAGACACGTCTTGGTCCAGGCCATAATAGAGTCGCTTTCTCACTCGTTCTGTCAACCGCTGGTGTCCAGGAAGAAACTGGGGAACCACAACACCGGCGTTAGCATACGTTAGCTAACTACAATGCTAAGGTTAACTTAGTCCTGGGGGAAACACAAGTTAACGTAAACACAAAACACAGCAAGATCGTCTAGTACACCGCACAGTAATAGATGACGTGTTTACAGCAGCATGTAACGGTATTGTTATACGACACTGAAACGTTATAGCGTTAGCTCAGCTAACGTTATAACGTCAGTTAGTTAGCGAATACGTTATATCGTTAACTTAGCTAACATTAGCTAAGCTAACGTGCGGCCTATAAGTTGCTCCAAGTTAACGAGTGCCAGCGAAAATATCCAGCTTTTCTTTACTAGGTCTCTTGAAATGACATTGTATTAGAGACAATAATCGAAGTTATTCGACATTAGCTAGCCAGGTAGCGAGCTCCCCGGGCTCCATATTCGGACATAATCAACAGCTAGCTCAGCTAACGCCCGCGTCGTGCGTTGACCTGTCGTAACGCAACAACATACCGTGAACTCCTGGAAGTCCGAAAACTGAAATGTGTTTTCGTTGAATAAAGCGTCGAAATCCATATCTACTGTAGGTTTGACATCAGTCCGCCAAATGTTGAAAAAGACGACCGTTCGAGCCCCCCCAACCCGGATGACAAGAAGAGCGCCTCCGATAGGAACACGCCCTGACCCGAGACAGTTCTCCGGGAGCTACAGTTTGCTTTGTTGACACATTACTGCCACCTTCTGGAGATACTACAAACTACAACTAGCGTTTTCGGCTTAAGCTTCGCGCTTTGGGCAGTTTGCAATTCGAGGTCTACAGCGCCACCCAGCGTTACGGAATATGAATAACGCCATTCTATTTTTAACTAAACTAAAGACAATATAATCAAAAACTAAAAACTACAAATAATTGAAACTCTATGCACACATCAGGATACTGTACACACAAATGCGTGCACAAACCAGCTGTCCTCAAATTAGAACTATACAAAAGCTGCACACACCCTCTTTATCCATCACTTTTATTTGCAGCTTTTGGGGGTAAAAAGTTTCTCCTGTTTCTGTGGAGATACATCTGTTTACCTCAGATTGTACAACTTCTTCTTGCAAGGTCATTACAAGAATGCCCAACTCAGAGAAGTTAACAGTTAAATTGTACATACTAGACTCCTTACTCTAAAAATGAGTAACTTAAACTTGACTTAAATTAAAATATCACTGGGAAATGCCTGCAGTGTTTTGATTATACAGTAAAACATGCAATTCAAATATAAATATATATGTATAATATAAAGTAATATATATAAAGCTTTGTAATGCAAATACAAAACATCAATTGATTGCAAATTCTTGTGTATATGAATGTAAATATAAAATACAGATATATTACATTCATTGAGAATAACGTTGTGTGTTATTAGTTTGAAGGTACATTTTCTTCCGGATGGATTATTTCACTTCCAAAGCAGCAAAAGCAGATCGAACTGGTAACGTGCCTCCATGACATCCATGTACCAACATGTGTGGGAATGAACAAATCCAAAAACATTTTTTTAAATAATTCACATCAATTCTGACCTTTAATTGTTGTGTATCCATTAAACCCTGCCAACGATTTAGTGAATACGATGATCAGAAAAGGAACACCAGCTTTACCTTAGCAATCACAGTTATACAGACACTTACACTAGAAAAAGTATTTTCATAACGTCTACCAAAAATGTAAAAACTTAAATGCAGCAAAAGAAATCCCTGACATTTTGTATACCAAAGAATGACTTGTCTTTCATATGACATAATGTAGTGGACAACTGAGCCATGAGCCTCCTGAGTGTTTTTATTCCCCTACCTCTAGCTAGTCTTCCCTTTATACTTTTGAATAACAGGCCATAGAATATAAAGTGAATGCCTCTTTCATTTTCTGGCGACAGCAAAAACTAAACCACCAATGCTGCATACGAAAAAGAAAAAGGCAATATTAAAAAGCTGGCAGGACGGATTCATGAATTACAACATTATAAATAAAAAAGTAAACCCAGAAGTATGGAGCAAAATTAAATAATTCATTCCCTATTTAGCCTTGGTATTGAAGGTTTGAACCAAACATTCAGTTTCAGTAAAGAACAAAATAAAACTACCCCTAACAAAACACTAATAAATACATTCAGTGGCCGGAGGAGGTCGATGGCGGCTGCAGTTTTTCAGACGTGAGGTCTTTGGCTTCTGTGTCCGACGACGAATCGGTGTCCTGGGCCTGCTGCTGCCTCATCCACATGTCGGAGTACAAGCCCCCCTTGAGCAGCAACTCCTCGTGTCTGGGATGGCGAGAGAGAGAGAGAGAGAGAGAGGAGGGTGGGTCACTTGGAGCTCAAGGGGGGTGGGGGGGGGGGGATCATCGGCACAACTCTCAGAAAGACCCGTCACACTTACCGTCCTCGCTCGGCGATGCGGCCGTCGCTGATCACCAGAATCTGGTCAGCTCCGATTATGGTGGACAACCTTTTTACGTAGAGAGACACTCTTTAGTCAAAACAACTGAAACAGACCAAATTAAAACCCTTCAAAAAAAATAAATATATATATTAAAAAAAAAATATAAAATCACGCCATTTCTCACCTGTGAGCCACGACGACTGTCGTACGGTTGATGCAGACTTTGGCCAGCGAGGTCTGGATGTTGCGTTCAGTCTGCGTGTCCAGTGCAGAGGTGGCCTGCAGACAGAAAACTATTAGTTACAACTGACAGAACAACAACAACAGAGCCATTTAAAGCGGAGTGACAGGGAAGGCTTTGATTGCTGGGATTTAAAGTTTCTATCTTCTGTGCCCTCAGGTATCAATGCTACGTTAGGTCATCTCACCTCATCCAGCAGGACGATCTGTGGCGCTTTGAGGATGGTTCTGGCGATGGCCACCCGTTGCTTTTCGCCTCCACTCAGCTTCAGGCCTCTTTCGCCCACCTGCGTATCGTAACCTGCAAAAAAAACAGAGGTAAGCTGGTTAAAACCTGGGAGATTCACTTCCCTCACATCGCTTTTAATCTATTCTCTAGGTCACCTTCGGGGAAGGTCATGATTTTATCGTGTATGTCGGCGGCCAGGGCAGCCTCCTCCACCTCATGGTCGCATGCGGAGACGCGGCCGTAGCGGATGTTGTCCCGGATGGTATCGTTGAAAAGCACCGTGTCTTGGGGGACCACGCCGATGTGTGCGCGCAGAGATCTCTGCGTCACCTGAGGAAACACGTGGCACAGATATTTTCTGGAACTGGAAAGCTCATAATAACTCTGGTATATACACACTTTTTAAAAGTATGGGCCTTTGCTGTGGTTTTATTACTGTATTATATATATATATATATATATATGCACATACATAAATTTCAAAGACTGTCTATATGTACAGTCAAATACTCACTTTTGCTATATCTTGCCCGTCGATGTTGATGCAGCCTCCCTGAACGTCATAGAAACGAAAGAGGAGTCTCATGATGGTGCTCTTCCCAGAGCCCGATGGTCCCACCTGGGGAGATTAGAAGGAAAAGGCACCTCTGAACAGAAGGTTGGCACTTTGACTGTATTGGTAATTTGAATTGAGAGGTGTTCTTTACCACGGCACAGGTCTGTCCTGGAAGGACAGTGAAGGAGACATCCTTGAGAATCTGCTTGCTGGAAGGCAGAGAGAAAACGGGAGAACGGAGTCTCGTAATTGAATAAAATAAACAACTATTTCAGCAGCAGTCATTTCTGCTGCAACCGAAACACACGCGAACTAACCCGTCGACGTAGTTGAAGTAGACATTCTTGAACTCCACCATTCCCTTTTTGTACTGAAGACTCCCTGCATTTACTTCATCTTTGACCTGCGCGGGAGGAAAAATACGGAACACGTTAAAAAGAGGTCATCGCGACACAGAGGGTGAGAACACACAAAAAAGTCACCTCTTCGTCCTCTTCGAAAAGCTTGAACATGCTCTCCATGTCGATGAAAGAATTCTGGATCATTCTGTGGTGAAGAAAAACAGAACCACTTCACCAGAAGACGGGGCCGTGAGCGCCAATGGATCGTTACCGACTCAATGCTTCCTCTTACCTGTAGTAGGTACCAAACCAGTTGAGGGGGGTGTACAACTGGATGATGTAGGAACCAAAAAGAACAAAATCTCCAACCTGAGACAAGAGCATTTTTCATTTTTATTTTCTTTCCAATCAAACAGACTTCACTTCCTGATCGGTTTAAACCTGCAAAGCGCCTTGTAAAGTACGACGTCGCCGGTACCTGAAACTTTCCTTCCGTCACAAAGTAAGCACAGAGCAGGGAGCCGGCCAGCAGGCCCCCACCGATGATGACGTTCTGTGTCTGGTTGAGGAAGGCCAGGGACGCCTGGGCCTTCCACTCCGACACCTAAAAAGGGGCGGGAGCAGAAAAAATCCATCAAATCGACCGATCCCTGCCCGGCCGTTGTCAAATACAAACTGCTGATTTGTAGGACACAAGCTTGATAAGATCTCATGTCTGTCCAGATTGAAAGGTGTCCGACTTGCCTGGTATTTCAAGATGGCGTCCTCGAAACGCCCGACCTCGTAGTTCTCTGCATTGTAGTATTTCACCTGTTGAATAGAATATAAAAAAATGAAATAAAAACTTCTTGGAGTGATGGAAACTCCTCCATAAGACAAAATGCCTGATGTACCGTCTCAAAGTTCAACAAGGAGTCCACCGCCTTAGTCTTGGCATTGTTGTCCTTCTGATTCATGTCTCGTCTGTACTTGGTTCTCCACTCCGTGATGATGATGGTCAGAGCTGGGGGGTGTGGGGGGAAACATGTTCCACTAAGCTCACCACATCTTAAATATCGCCATTAAATGATGGCAACAATTTCTCGGATTGCCGCGTTTTCAACGGGCGCTACTTACTGAGGTACAGGCCCATGCAGACAAAAACTATGAGGCCGAACCAGGCGTTGAAATTGGTGATGAAGTAGATGATGGAAATGACAATGTCGGCCATGGTGGGGATGATGCTGAACACGATGTAGCTGTGGGGGACACGAAGGGAATCCGTGAGTTTATTACACGGCCAGAAAGAAAAAAGTAGGAGTCTGGAGGAAATCCCCTCATCCATTCCACGGCTGCCTCACCTGAGCAGGCTGTTGATGGACGTGGTGCCGCGGTCGATGCTCCTCAGCACGTCGCCGGTCTTGCGCCCCAGGTGCCAGCGCAGCGAGAGCGAGTGCAGGTGGCTGAACAGGCGCACCTGCACCACGCGGTTGGTGAACTGCTGCACCCGGATCCACAGGAAGGAGCGCAGGTTACTGATGAAACCCGACGCGCCTGGGGGAAGAGGGAGCGGGAGGGGCAATGATTGGTGCGGCAGACTCAAATTATCACTTGGGAAGTGTTCAACTTGTCTTGGTCCTACCTGCACCGCCGCCCTGCAGGAACTTGAGCAGGACATAAAGGCACACGGTGGTGGCCAGAGAGCGCCAGCTGCTGCCGTCGGTCAGCTTGTTCACTGAGAGGGACAAAAGACATTACGTTGTCACATCACGCATCCTATTAGCACGATTAGCGCGCCGCTGAGCTTCCCGGCAAGGCACGGCCCGTTTAACCCCAGAAGTGAATTAGGCAAACGTCTGGGTGTGCGGGGGATCAGGCAAAGAGATCGGCCCCTCACCGATATTCTTGTAGTAGATGGGCACAAAGACGTTGACGACCCTCTCGATTCCCAGCAGCGTCAAACAGAAGACGACCAGAAGCTGGAGGAAGGTGTTCCCCCGGGGCCACATGTAGGGAAGAAGCACGCGGACCTTCTTCCTGAAACCCAGCCAGGTGGATTGGTTCTCTTCTGGTCCGCCCAAAAGGCCCTGAGACAAAGAGAAATGTGTTGAATAATGAACATAAAAAACCCTGCATTGTGGCCCAATAGGAGCATCCCAGGGAAAACGTGCGCGCCGCTCACCCGTCCGCTGCCCTCTACGTCCCGCTCGTCTTCGTTAATCAGGAGCATGTACGGTTTCCGTGGCAACCCCGGAGCTTTGAGACCGATGAAGAAGAGCAGCCCGGTGCCTGTGTAGCGCATCAGCCACAGGAAGAACTGAACCTGAGGGGATCATTGGAAATTCAAAAAAGATCAATATGGATACCAGTGAATCCGCATTGTTCGGTGTTCATCATACAGTTTTGTATGACAAAATTACTAAATGAGGGGTGTCATTTACAACACAATGAAGTATTTGAGCAATTTACATCCATGTATAATAAGTTATTATTTAAATGATAAAATATTTGTTCTTGACTTGTGTTTGTTGTTTCAAGTTTGAAACTGAGCAGAGAATAAACCGTTTGAGGTGTAGATTTGGAAAAAACCCCACAAAACAACATAGCAAAAAACCCCTACAAAAGTCATGCTTACAATTACACAACTAGTTATGGTACTGACTCGGTGTGGGAGGGGCTAGTGGCGGGTCTGATGATTTGATTGGTTAGCAGTGGGCCTGGAATCTGATAGTCAGAATGAGTAGTGACTCAGCAAAAAAACAGGCTCTCCTCTTGGCCACACGGTTGCGGTTTCAGATTGCTTACATGCCTGCCTCCCTTTGTTAGCGTGCAATGGACACTTAACATAAGAAAGACTGGATGGCTTAGTGCCGGGTGCAGAGACATAGGCGTGTGTCATAAAAACACACCTACGTCTTCTTTAACATTAAAGAACCTTTGACCCACTAGCCGGTGAAAGCACACATAGCACATCCTTAAAACAACAAAAAGAGATGCCAGAGAGCGAGATTGAAATGAGATGAACTCTTCCCTGAATAGATCGGAATGGGGATAAATGACATGCAGGCCCTGTATGCCGGTACGAAGCACAGCGGCATCTGAACGACATATGCAGGGTACCATATTTATATAACTGAAAACTGCATATCACTTGGCAAAGTCCTTTTCACCTCTAATGTGACATTTGACCCCCCCCTTCTCACCTGCTGCTCAGCGTTCTCCAGGCCCCACCACCAGTGCGGACTGAACCAAGAGACGAAGGCCAAGTTCTCCGCCGAGAACGCCACGGCCCAGAACAGCAGCAGGGCCGCGCTGTGGCCCCTCGTCCGGGACATCAGCAGGGCCCTCCGTCTCTCCACCCTCAGCAGGGCTACGGACCAGCCCCAGGCCAGCGCGGAGAAGCAGCCGTACAGCACCGCGTATCCCGGGAGCTCTCCCCCGCTGGCGGCCCGCCACACCGCCCCGCCCGCAAACTGGAAGATCAGGAGGACGGAGAGGGCCAGCTGGAAGCCGTAGAGGCGGGAGCGCGGGATGAACTTGGGCTCCATCGCCGTGCCATATTTCTGGTAGAAGACGCAGTGGACGGTGCCCAGGAAGAAGGCCATGGTGAGCAGGATGGAGGGGACCAGGGTGAAGTAGAAGCACGGGGAGATGCCCTCGTCCACCCAGGTGCGAGAGATGGAGGAATTGGTTTCGCAGTAACCCTGAATGAACACCATGGCTGAAACTGGAGGGGGGGGCAGAGAGTGTGTCAGCAGAGAAGCATCACAACCGGAAATAAAAGCACAAGTGGGTCAATAAACGTGAGACACATCGTCCTGCTGAAGAAGTGCCTGGACTCGCTTTACACACTTGCATGGGTGCAACACAACTCTGCCATAATAGGTGTAGTGGACCTCAGCGACATTTTTTTTGCTGAGTCATGGTTAACTCTACTGCTTAGATATGGACCGTATCCCCACACACGGAGTGAAACGCTTTTGTGTTGGCGTTTAGTATTCTCCAGTAGCGTTCATATGGAGATAACAAAGACGAATGTAACACCATACACGTAGAACAACATTAACGGTAAACTCACCGTATTTGGCGGGCGGAAAAGGTTTACGTCAACTTCGGTCTTCTGGACGACGCACTCGTCATAAACAGAGGTTACTCCAGAGAAGCTAGCAAGTCACACAGATTAGCGGTGAGCTAGCTCGGTCGGCTTTACGCGACTTGAAAACAAACGGCAGTTTAAAACGTGGCGGAGCAGCGCTCAGGCGATGCACAGCCGCGCGTCTGTCATCGCTACCACCAAGTTGTCCTCGTTACGTGCATGTTGGTTCAAGTGGCTCCAATCCGTGACTCGGCGATTGACGCTTTACGCAACAGCGTTCGATTGCTTTGGTCTGTGAGGGCACGCGGCGCCCCACGGAGGCTTAAAACGAACCTGGTTCACGGAGACCGGAAGTAGAGGACAAAATAAAATTATGCGGAAGGTGTTTTTGGAAAAGAAGTTGTGCATTTACAATTTCAAGTAAATGTACAAAAGTCGGTTATTGCCAGCTACTGTAAGAACAAGGTTGTAATTAAAAATACTCATTATGGATTCTATTTTTCATATATAGGCCTACATATAGTTCACATATTGTGAGTAGTTTTACTCTTACGTTTACTTTTTAACTGCTTCATGTGTTGTTGGATTGTTTAATCGCATGATTTATGTTTTACCTAGTATGTTTTGGATTAAACTTTTAAACTGCATGTAGCTTGTTTCAAATAAATGTGGAGTATTGTATGTCCCTGTGAAATGAATATAAAGTGACAGGAAAATTTGAAGTAGTACCTCAAGCAAATATATTTAGTTATATTTCCCCATTGTAAATGAGATAAACTTCAACAGTTCAATGAAAAGAGCAATGCTATTCCTTGATCTAATATAACTTTACAAGCCGATTTTTGTCCTTTATTTTCAGTTGAGATTACATTTTCTCCATAAACCAAGCGGAGGAATGCAAAACTCTAATTTCATACCCAAAATGAAAAATAAAAGATAAAAGATAAAAGATAAAAGATTTTATCTATGTTATTGGCTTGTGATTGGAATAAATATACCTGGAATGAAAGGACACCTTGCAGTGCCACAAAATGATCAAGAGATGGCAGTAAATACTAAGGTATAATCAGACAAAACCGCAGTATTCAACAATAGGCATTAAAACTTCCCACGAGAGACACAGGTGGTGGGAAAAAACAAGTCCTGGAGATGGGAAATGGTAATAATGAATAGCATTCTATCAATGCTAACGCTGTTATTCACAGCCATATGAAGTGAACAAGCGATTACAGAAACAACGCCTCTTCCTCCGAAAGGAGCCAATTTAAAGTCAAAGGAACATAGGAAGTCTTTCAGTGATGAGAGGGTTTAAGCTTAGAGCTTTTCCCATCAAAGTGTAAATTCAGGGTTGAGTACAAAGACTGGAAGTGACTCAAAAGCCATCTGTCGCGTCTGTCCTTCCTGAGGGGATGAATGAAAGACTCGGCAGACTAAAGTGTGTGTATTTGTGTGTACCTGCATGTGAAGGAATAAAAAATGGGAAGCGTATCCTAATGTGAAAGAGGAAGAAGCTTACGCACACACACGCACACACACACAGGCCACAAGCTGAGATGGGAAAAGGGGTAAATCTTATCATTTAGAGCCTTCACAATGGGCATAAAGAGCTGCTAATCTGCTTCATCTCCCCGGCTCTTTTGTGCGAGTGGAAATGGACCTTCTGTCCATCGGCTGCTTCAAACCCCGCTCCTTTGTCTCCGAGTGGATGTGACGGCCTGCCCATCACAAACCCCTCATCTCTCTCCCCTTTTGTGGCTGTCTCCAACCTCAGCACACAGGCTCAGCTGGAGCCCCCGTAAGTCCGTTAAGGTGTTTCTTTTATTTCGCTCAATCTCACCTTTTTCCCTCATTCTCATTTATGCTTCTTTGTCCGCCTGAAGCTGTCTGACACGCGGGGATAGTAAAAGGCGGGGATAAGACGGATGTGTGCGCCAATCTAATCCCTTAATTTAGAGAGAAGAGAATGCCGGTACTGCTAGGAATGCTACGTCCAATCTCATTAGTACTGAAGGCGATCAATGAAGCTTGGGGTTCTGTTGAATGCGGTATTCACAGAAGGATTGGGCTTTGTGTGACACCGTTCTTACCAGTAGCCCAATGGCGGATGACCTTTGCGAATAAATAAAGATACAGCTCTTTTGCTGTTTATAAACGTGAAAGTATAAGCTGTGTGTCACTCTCTGTGTCGAGTTGAGTTCTCCATTTAGTACGTTTTCAGCCGGTTTCATCATAGTGGTACTCGAGTGGAAGGACCACCTCCCGCTTTTGAGTGGAGGCGCTTTCGTCTGACAGATTTTCTGCTAGGGGTGAATAAAAAAAATGCTCTTTTATTGTTTCCTTATACTTTATGAGAGTAAATTCAGAGCCTTGAAACGAGCGATGGCTCACGGGGTCGATGGACTCGACTACGTGAGCAGGTTTGAAAGAGCTGGACGTCGTGTCTCTGAGCTTGAGCCTGGACTGTCGGGCCTCGGTGCCCCACAGCTAAGCCACCTTCTTCTGCAGGGATAGCCCCCCCCCCCCCCCAGCCAGTGAGGGGAGAGCCAGAAGGTGAGCGAGAAGTGGTTGAGGAAGACAGACAGAAGATGGAGTGTGTGTGTCTGTGCAAGATAACACAGGCTGGAGGAATTAGACTGACGCCCTGGTGTCTCAGCGTGTGGGCGAATCTGTCCCAGATACAGAGGCATAGAGGTATTGTTAGAGGAGACGCAAGGTCCCAAAAGTAACCTATCTACACATTTCAGGCACAACGGACTGGAAAAACTAGCAGCAGCTTCGTCCAATACGGCACACACACACACACACCCACACACAGACCAGTTGACATATAAATGTCTGGAGCCGCACACTCTACGTCTCCTTCCCTTGTGGACTTGCCAAACCTCTTGCATCCCGAGTGCCCCCCCCCTGTACAATCACCTTACAACTATTTCGCTGACTCACATCTCATTAACACTTGTAGCTCCCTGAGAAAAAGGGAAATGCAGATTGCAGAATGTTGATGGAACGAAAGGGTTGTGCGCCTTGTGGGCTGCATAAGACATATCAGTACAATGGAAGATGAGCTTGGCGATCCCCTTTTGGGCGAGTGCTTGTGCTGCATCGCTGACCATAATTCAATGTTGAATGAAGTGCACGCTTTATGGACTAGAAGATACACAGATTTAAAGTGCACTAAAGGAGGCGTAAAGATGAATGGAGGCGATGTCTAGAGAGGTTTCTGAAAACTCATGGATTTGATGCAAATTCTCTATTTAATCCCTTTGAATAATTTATTTTTTCCAATTTATTAAACTCTCTTAGGAACAGAATGCCACACATCTTCAAGGCAGTTCAAAATAATGCACAAGAAGGCAGGATTATCTCATCAAAAGCCAAGAAAATAAACACCATCTATCCTTGAAGCCGCAAACTATAAGCTAAAGGAGAAACGGAGCCATTTGAGGCATGAACAGTCTCCTGTTGCCCTCGCCTTCTTTCCCGTCACAGATTTGTAGACGCGGGGGTTGACGGCACCACCAGTGATGGAGTCTTTGATGAGTCCATCCTGCTGCAAGCGTCGTGAGGTGGATGCGCATGACCTTCAGGTACTTTAATACAACTTCTGCCAAATTACAGACCCCTCGAGTGAGCTGCAGTGGCTTTAGCACGGCCGTGACCATGGCTCCTTCTGGACATCTTCATACGGTTCCAAAACATTGCAGTGTGTTTCCCCAAAATAAATCTATTATTTAAAACTTTTAGAAATTGTATGTATTTCATCTATGCGGAATATCACCAAATACCATGTATGTTGTAAAGCACACATCACAGTGTTCTGGAACTTGCTGCAATCTGGAACAAGAAGGAAGTTGCATCACAGAATCCGAGCCGGTCTTCTCAAAGCCCCACAAGAGATTTCCAAAAGATCTTAATTGTTATCCATTTGAGTTATTAAAGCAACAAAATAGAAGCCGCTTGTGGCATTTGATGCAACTGTTGTTTAAGGGTTTTCAGACCTACCTACCTATATTCCACCATGGAACTTCGGTCTGATCAACGCCTCAAAAAGGTAAGTTCTTCTTTTTTCATTGGGTATGTTTTTTTAAACCACAAAAAGATGTGATAGATAATGTTTTTAATAACAAAATTAAACAAGACAAAAATGTCCCCCTTTCTCAGGCAAAGGGCCATCGCATTTCTGCAGAGCTCCAACATGCAGAGCCCCTACCAGTACAAATTGCATATGGATCAAGTCCCAGTAAAATGCACGGCAGTGCTGCTCCCTGTGATGAAAGAAGGTAAGCTTCGTATTAGACTTCCAATAACATCAAAAAAGACTAGATGTGGAGGAAGTGCAGCCGGTAAAATCTTTTAATACGTTGCAGCATGAAACATTTTGACATTAAGCTCAGGTGTGCATGTTATCACATGTGTGCACATACACATAAAAAATAACAGCAACCATCTTAACTTATCACATCATAACTGACACTGACACACTATTTTCGGATGCAGGTTTCAAGAGGCAGGTACTACAGCGAAGCCACCAATGAAGTGCTTCTACTCTTCACATACCCTCACTGAGGAGGTCCCACTGCCTCCCAGCCCTCCACCTGGCGTGATGGACATGGGAGACACTCTTGAGATCAACGTAAAAAGATTCAGATTTTCTTCTCCGGATGGACTCACACTTCCCCGAAGTTACCCACACGCTGCCGATGAGTTGGGCACGGGAGACACTCCCGAGAAAACGAACTCCGGAGAAAAACAAGACTTGAAGGAGGCTGGGTGTCCGTCTCCGCTCTCCCCGCCTCTCAGCAGGAAGGCTCGTGAGATGGCCCGGCCTCCAAGTCCTCCCGTGCCGCACGTGGGACCCATTCGCGGAGAGAAGAGGTACCGAGACTTAGGAAACATCGTCTTCCCTTGTCTAGATGATGACAGTGATCCTAAGCCTCCCAACCTGTTGCATCAGGAGGTTCCTCTATGTCCAAGTCCTCCTCCACCCGTGCTTTACATGGGACACACTCACCAAAAAAGATACCCGGATTTGAGAAACATCGTCTTCCCTTGTCTAGATGATGACAGTGATCCTAAGCCTCCCAACCCGTTGCATCAGGAGGTTCCTCTATGTCCAAGTCCTCCTCCACCCGTGCTTTACATGGGACACACTCACCAAAAAAGATACCCGGATTTGAGAAACATCGTCTTCCCTTGTCTAGATGATGACAGTGATCCTAAGCCTCCCAACCTGTTGCATCAGGAGGTTCCTCTATGGCCAAGTCCTCCTCCACCTGTGCTTTACATGGGACACACTCACCAGAAAAGGTAC